ATTATGTAAGATCAAAAATAAATACAGAAAGAAACTGAATTGGAGCGTCTGTCTGGCATGGAGGTAACTGGCCTGCTAAAGTATGACTTAGTATGTAGCTCATCTGCATTGCTAGTTCAGGTGTCCATCTTCTTCTTAAACTGATAGTTTCTGTAGGGCTTTAGGTCAGAAAGTCAGACACATTTCATCATGAACTCATAATTAAGCAGCAAAACCCCAAACTTCCCTGTTCTATCCTTGGATTTGATAACAGTGGACCAGAACCAGCAGATGGCATGATTTCCTTCAAATAAAATCCTGAATCTACTTTCATCTGAGAAGTCTTTTTGCTATAGAGAGATTGCTGCTCTGGTTCAAAGGTGGCACCGATGGTATGGAAAGAAAGCTGTTCCAATATTATTCAAAGCGAATAATGAGTTGAAGAATATTTAAACAATTTTTTTTTAAAAATGTAGCTTAGAAAAAAAAGGTTTAGAGCAACGTTCAACCAATATTTTAACAGTTTGGTACTTTTGTCAGGTTTTCATTTTGTTATAATATTCTTAAATTTTTTTTTTACCGTAAGTTTTTTTAGACAGTTTTTTTTTCTTTTTTTCCCCCTCCAAATTAAAGTATTTTTTTTTTCTGATTTTCTCTTCTCTGTTTTCCCCACATTCTATTTAAGCAAATTATTTTTCATATTTTATTTTTTCACATTTTTTGTGAGATTGAGTTTTACAGATTCCATTTTTTTCTCGTCTTATAGATTTCACCTCCGATATTTAACGGCTAACAGCATTACTCTTGGTCTGTGTTCATAACCAATAGAAATGAGCCTGCTCTGCGTGAACGTCAGCAACAGCATTTCTATTGGTCCAGGCACAGACCACTCTGAAGTGTAGGGGGGAATCTGTAATGGAATTTAACTCTCTTTTTTTTGCAATTCATACAACTCAGTCTCCCAAAATTCTTTAAAAATGTTAAATTTCAAAAATTTTTTGAAAGAAATATGTGGAAAATAAAATCTGAAAAATATAAATTAGTAAAAAATCAGCAAACTGCAACAAAATTGGTAAAATTTTTGAATGCCCATTAGGAATTATTATCAATACCCTTTTTTGACTGAGCATTTTGCATTTTGTTCAAAGAATTTTTTTATACATGTTTTTTGCTTACGTAACATTGGAACACATTTCTCTCCATATAATGGTCTTGATGAAAGTAAGTAATCAAAGTTCCTGTACGTTCCCGTGCAGATGCGCTTTGGGCAGCAGAAGCAGCTGCTTTACATGCAAACCTATGGTTGATGTGCATCAAAAGGTCCTTCGGCTTGTGCAGAGCTTCGCCTCATGAGCTTCTGAGTATCTGAGGCGCGTAACGCCCTTCACAAAGAGCAGATGCTGGAGTTGGAAAAACTTAATATTTGCTCCTTGATGTACCACCTCAACCAATCAGAGAAGCTGATCTGAGAGCTGGCAAGGAGACGGAGGCCGTTTCTCAACATGTGTACTTCTTTGTTCTCATGTGCTCACGAAACGGCATCAGCATCTGCCCAAGCACTATTGCATTTCACAAGAACAGAAGATCGACAAAGGACAAAGTCTCCGGATGTTGTTCTCGCCACCCCCTCTTTACCCAGCATGCATCAGAGCAGACTTGTCAGTTTTCCAGATTGACAGCTGTCCCAGCGGCTTCCAGGATAGCCCTCATAGAGCGTTAAGTTAAAAGTTCTCTTTTCTGTTGCCGTTGTTCTATAAAAGTATGTTTTAAGAACATTTGAGGCGAGAACATTATACTTTAATCTTCACTATATGGCCCATTTACTTATTTTATTGCATAATTAAAAAAAAAGTTCCAATGTTGAGAGGACCTTGGCAAAAAGTGGAGATCCAAAATCATTTGATTTGTGCTAATCTGACTCTGTTAATCATTATCCCCCAATTAAATGAAAAAAGTCATAATTTATTATTTTCTAGAGACTTTTAACAACAGGACGGTAACGAAGTTCCAGATGAGCAAAGTGGGTGGTGACGTCACGAGTACGCTTCTGTTCTCCCAGAATACATACTTTCCTGTGTTCTTTTCAAGAACAGACTTGGCGAGAACACAAGTCCGTACTCACATTGTTGTGAATTGAGAAACGGCCGGACACAGCACTGCTGATACAGAGCGCTATGATCAATCCCCTGGAACAGTTTATTAACACCTAAATTCACTTAAAATGTTGAAACCTGCGGGCAAAATATGTTCGCTTTTATTATTCTGGTGGCTGCAGTTTGTACCACATACCTGAAAAACGCTAACATCTACTTCCAGCTGCCACCAGCAGTAGGGGAAAACCCCCAAGAGTAGCATGTGTATGTAGCATAAAGAACTCTGAGGGCCAAAGCTCTACTTCCACCTCTCTTTAAAGCAGTGTTTCCCAAACATTACAGCCTGTGACCCCCCAAAAAAGCAATGCAACAGATAAGCAACCCCCTAAGAATACATATCCACTAAATTACATCACTCTATAATTATTATATATATAAAATAAAATAATACAGTATATTAATTCTAAAATAAAATGCTAGTTGTTGTTATTTAATGGGACATTTAATTATTTAATTATACCCTCTGTTCTAAAGACTGGCTCAGCTTTTCCTGCCACAGGTTCTTCTTCCACTAAACTTTCAGTTTCTTTGCTTGGATACAGTTTTTTAGGCAACAGCTAAGTCTGTCTTGTGGTTCTTAAGACCTTAACCCCTAGAACCCTACGGACCCACCGGTGGGTCCAGCTGCTACGTGACCTCGTAATTTTAACAAACCCCCAGTATTGATGTAAAAAACACATTTGGCACAGTTTGGTGACATTTTTGGATAAATGTGCCAAAATGGCCCCTCAGCCTAAGAAATTTCTCACTAATACCATTCTAAAATAAATATGATTCATCTGATTGAGTCCAAATTTGGTATATTTTTACACAACATTTAGATTTAAAAGTCTGTACTACTTTTTTGTGCTATAAATAATATTTTGGTAGTTTGCAATGTTTATTTCAAAGAACATTTTGGCGAGGTTCAAAAAATGCAAAATATTTTGTATTTTGTCCCTAATATTTCAGGCAGGGTCAAAGCTACAATGGTGCTGACACCAGAAAACCATTCTATGACATCTTACCTTTACAGAGGTACCAAAAGTTTCTTCTTAAATCTAATAGCTGTGAGGCTATAAGTGGTTTACTTTTGTGTGTTTTTGTCAGGCAGAAATTTATTTATACCCCCTGAGGGTGTAAGAGGTTAAGAGCTGAATTTTTTTGTTGGTTTTCTTTTCTAACCAGCTGTAAGTAATGAACAGATAAACATTTGAAATATATCACTATGTGTATCATAAATCTAACCTGGATGGGGGTTTTATTTAAACTGAGTTCCTTAAATAAACTTTTCAATGATAATTCATGTTAATCCATTGAGATGTACCTGAATCACTAAAAAAACAAAACATGATGTTCAACTTTTGTTTAGCAAAGGCTGCAGAGTCTCACAACTTTAAGTATTTCTCCAGTTTTATCTCACTGAAAAAAATGAGATTAAATTAACCCCAGTGGTTGTTCTCCTCAACACAGCAGGTTTTACCAGGTGAGGGTGGCCATGGAAAGACTTTTACTGGTCTTGGATGCAGACCGAGCAAAAGGTGAGAAGATGTTAGAGGGAATAAAGAAAAAATAAAATAGAGAAAAATCAAATCAAATCTGTCCCCTTTAGTTTTTACTCTGTCATTAGAATTCTCACGTTTGCCTGAGATGCTTAGTCCCCTCAAGACAACGCTGTTTCCCGTGCCTGCCCTAACTATGAAGCGGCAGTTTGGAGAGTTGATTCCTATTGGTTATTCAACATATATAACATTATATTATTAACATTATACAACTTCCTCATTGGCCTGTAGGTATAAAGAAAACGGGAAAAAAGGACGTTCCTTTCATAACCACAGGCCAAGCAGCTACTCAGTCACAAACATAAAACTGGACTTTCTGTCCTCCACCATTAGCCAAGTAAAGGGTTCCCACTTGATCACAGTCGCAGATTGAAAGTCTAAAACCTCCTTTTTTAAATTTTTTGTTCGTTTTGAAATCAGTAACATGTTACAGTGGGCCCTCGGCCCACTGATTCTGCAGTCAGTGACGACAGCCTTGCCGATTACTCTGTGCTAGGATACCCGATTTTGGTGACATCGAGGCTGACCTTAGAGTCACCTCCCCCGCTGCCGCACTCTCCCTTGTCGTACCACCATTTGTTTTTCAATTTGTCCAAGAGGCCTTGCTCATTCAGTTTTAACACTGCCAGGTTAACAGCATTTCTTGAAACGATAAAACATAGCTTGTAAGAAAATGAACAGGTCCGTGAGAAATCTAATATGAAAGAATTAGTAGGTAATAGTGATCATTATCAATGGTTCATTAGGGTAGAACGGGAGGGACAAATTGGCAAAGAGTTCCACAGGAGTGGAGGGATAAAAAAGCACTTTTACAGCAGAAAGGAAATGTTAAGAATTAGAGAGGTGGCATGGAGGGTTACATTGCTTGTAACTGAAGTGTGCGGGATGGGGACATTCTGTCATTGCTGGGGGAAATATCAGGGAAAAAAAACATCCAGCATGCAGCTTAACACTAATCACGACTGACACACCAGCATGTGAACTAGCAGAAATGATTCAGAAATAAATAGAGAGAAAGTGGAGGTAATGCAAAAGGAGCACCACACATGACGAGGAGGAGGAGGAGGAACTGAAAGAACGACACGAGGTGGGGGGCACATGGACACACAGAGAGGGAGTCAGAAAAAAACAAACAGTTAAAATTAAAACAAGACAACGATGTGCTGATTCAGTTCAGGTAACCCATAATACTGTTCACCTAGAGATGCACTTGGAAACAAAACAGAAGAATTAAGGAGTGAGGAAGAAGATTATGACAAAAAGGAAACATCAGGGTAGGTGGAATACTATAGCAACATGGAGGAGATTGTTATCTTATCCCACCCACCCTAATGCTGAGCCTTTAGGCGTGGCCACGCCGTAGCCCTTAGAGTCCAGGTTGCCGCCCACTTTCATGGTGTCGCAGGGCTTCCGCTGCTCTATGTACTCGTTCATCGTGGATTCCAGCAGAAACGCAAACTTTCCCTTCGACTTCCGCACCCGGGAGACCCCGTCCGGTGTCGTCTTCACAAACACAGATGGTTCAGCTGATTTCATGTAGGACCACATTTTCTCATACACAGCTATTTTGGAGCGCTGCATGAAAAGGGGGAGAAGGAGAGAAGACCGCAGAGGGTTAGTCGTGCATAATGACTAGAGAGAAAAGACTCACCTACAAAATACAGCAAAGGTCAATGGATCCTTCAAACTATGGTTCCAGTCACTGCAGAACTGGATTCGAATCAAATCAAAAGGAAAGTTTGAACCCAGCTCTGCTCAACTCAACAACACACAGAACCATACAGCGTCCAGGAAGGCAACCAGGAAGAAAACTGGCAAAAAAAGACGACTCATGGAATGATTGTGGACATAAAACAAACTGAAAACTAACTCAGACAATTCCTTCTTGGTCTGCTGTCGAACAGAGAGGTTGGCTTGAGCAGGGAAGGTGGGGCTACATGGTTTGGGGTTAAATGCCAGCTGGAATCAGAATGCTCTCCTTGTGCAACTCTGGGTTCTATCAGGGTACCATGGCTTCCCCTTACAGCCTGAAAATATGAACCTAAGTTTGTTCATTGATTCTAGAATGTCCACAGGATAGATGGATGACAGACGGATGGACAGACAGGTGGATGGATGGATGGATGGATGGATAGAATGATGGATGGAAGGATGATGGATGGATGAGTGGACTGGATGGATGGATGAATTGATAACGGGTGGAGGGATGTTGTGTACTAAAGTAGTTCTTTCAGATAATCTACTGAGAAGCCTTGAATATGGAAATACACACTATTCATGTTTTTACAGGAATCTACATTTTATTCAACAAATATTGAGATTTTTGTAAAAATTCAAGGTTATGAAAGGAATATCTGTCTGAATTTATCAGTAAGGAAACATGTATTTTTTTACTCTTCTTATGCTGGACTCACACTGAATGCTGCGACCATGCTGACCCCGCTGTAGCTCCAGTTCGCACCGCAGCCACACCGTGTTCAGTGTGAGCCGGGCGTTATTCAGGTAAAATCTATTACATGCATTTTTGCTTCTAGCACACATTAAAGTCTACTTTCTGTATCTAACTACTCAGGGCTGTAGAAGAAATGTGGTTTGTGGTAGAATCTGAGTTAAACTCACATTTGTTTGAGATCTTTTGAGTCTAATTTCTGGTCCTGGTGATTCTCTTAAATAACAAAAATATTATTCTGAATTTTTGCACCTTGCTAATGAAATAATATTGATCTTAACAAATATTGATGATCCTAAGGTGAATGACTGACTTTTATATTACAGACTGATTTGTTTGGGTTTAATGGAATATCACTCCAAGCTTTCAGAAGGTAACCTCCGTCAACAACCTTCTTCCTCTGTTACTTTAAAGCTTTACTCTTCTTCTTCTTTGGTCTTCTCAGACTTCTGTGCATTTGCATCACTTTTATTGTTTCTGTATCTACTGGATGGATCAATGACCCGTCCAGGACTTTCAGTACATCTTTAGGAGGAGTTCAGACCCTCAGATTTTACCACCTTGAGTGATGACCACCGTAAATATGTAATACCTGATAAAAGTAAGGAGAACTTTGTTACTACTGATAGAGTCTGGTTTACAGTACCCAGTACTATTACATATTGTCACAAGAATATATGTCTCTACGCTTTTAGATAAAGATTGAAGGTTTTTAGAGTTATAGCAGTGTGTTGATAGGGGAATCTGTCAATGAAAATAAAAATCCTGAGGAAATTAATTAATATTTCATCTGCGACTTCTTCCTCTCATCCACAGTTTAATGCCTCAGGGGTCTAGATGTTCCCACAGCAGGACATGAAGTGAACCTTGAACTTATCTCCAGTCGCCCAGTTGGACAGAACAAGAAAGAAACCAATCATGCAGACTGACAGTCAGGACTTTGGCTTGTAGGAGGCCGAACCAGCAGAAATCCAGTAGATCTTTCATAGAGTATATTAACAGTAAACATGGAAATAGTTTAAGACTTGCATTGAGTCGGAGAGTGTTTCTTAATTAGAGACTCCACCACTTCTGCCAGAAAAAAATGACCATTTTATGTGTATGGCGTATTTATGTAACGGGGAAAGGTTCCTCTAAATGATGGAACCAACATTAGCGACCCCAACAACACACAACTTTAACATTAGGCTGCTAAATTTAAAAAAAGCAACAAAATCCAAAGCACACCAGCAACCATTCAAGTCCAGACTCTTTTTACAACGGTATTAGTGTGACCAATATAAGGGATGCAATAATGAATAATCAATTAATGAATAATCTTAAGCTAACTGACCTTATCAATTAATCAATTAATAAGGAGTAATTTTCCTATAAACTGATTGTTCTGAGTCATTAACACTCCTGCCATGATACCACAGGTCGGGTCAGAACCAGAGGGGAAGTAGGTTTGCTAATGTCAGAGGGCATCATCCTGACAGTTATCGCTCTCCTATACAACCGAATGGATTCTACGTGCGAATGCAAAGCGGAGTCCTGGCAGGCTTTCTGCCAGCAGCCTGAGGTCAGACAATCTGGCAGCTCAGCAGAAGTAAACCCCAGACCCCATTTAGCATCAATATTAATGGGCAGATGAGCCCCAACCTCATCTCAGTTTATGCTCCTGCTAGCAGGGGACAGCTGGTGACACAATCATTGCATTTTTATTTCTTTCTGGCCCAATTATTTATAACTATTTATATTCTTGTCCAAGGAACATTTTTCATGCCTGCTCTGTGTTTATGGAGTTTTTAACTTTTAAAACACAAAGGATTTCTGTTCTAAAGAGCAGCTTCAAATGCAGCAGAAGGACTAACGAGAACATATACGCTTATGCTTATGATTTTCATAAGACATCTTTATGAACATTCAAATTGTATGACATCTGTAAACCTTTTTTATTCTGAATTTAGTGGCCATCATCTTATCTTTTCACCTTTATATGTGAAGCATTATAGTACAGAGTGTTACAGTGACGTCAAGATCAAAATAGGAGGAGCTGGATAAAGCCATATAATGCCCTATTGGCACATGGGTGCGGATTTGAATGTTAGCTTTTAATTTAATCTTTTATCTAAACAAGGGCTGAATCATTTTTTTTCAGATGAATCAATAATTGAAATAATCATCAACTAATTGGGTAATGGAATCGATCTGGTATCTAGAGTGATGTTATATAGACTCTAAATACCATTTGCCATTTACACTAATGAATATCCTACTTACAGCAGTAATGGTCTTTATGCCCAACTCCACTACGTCCTGAACTTCAGCAGCTCCTTGGTTTCCTGTCTTTCATTACTGGACAAACTGATATATCCAGGTGTGTCTGGCCGTTCTCATCATAGTTACTGAGATCACACACCAGAAATATAACGTAGCCCATTGAGACAAAACATTCATGAAATACAAAGAATATTTTTTATGTTTACTAGAGGTGCCACTAATGACTAATGACTATCAAACAACTAATCTTTCCATAAATTTTTCGATTAGTCGACTAATCTTAACAACCAATTTCTAAAAAAAATCCCCCATTGGGGGTTTGCAGGGTAGCCGGTGGATGGTATGGAAGCCCGTTTCCACCGCATGAAAATAAAAAAATGCCAAATAGAAAGTCAATTTTGGGATTCAAAGTCATAATTATGAGATACAAAGTTTGAAAGTCGAATATCTCAAAATTCTGACTTTGAAAGTCGAAATTATGAGTAATACCAGACATGTTGCAGCAAGTAAAGGAGCTTTTAGACAGGACATGACATGCACAATGTTGTGCTCTGAAACCCATTATTTTTAATGGCATGTGCTGAAGAATGGTGCGAATGAGCTGGGCTGTCCAATGCACAGTGCAAGGAGAGTTCACACTGACCATGAGTGCAGATGGAAAGTGCAAGTGCAGTGCATACTTAGCGGCTCTGTCCTTCAATATAGTCATATATATATATATATATATATATACACACATATACATATAGCTTGTGGTCTAAATATACGTACGTTTTTCGAAACCAGCTTTTGGGATTTCATAAATATCCTAACCAGAGGTTTTAAAAGTATTATAAATCCTGCTGTTTAAAAACACTTTTGTAGAAGTTAGAGGATCAACTTAAACTATTTACTCCAGTAAAAGTATAACAGTACAATTTTTAAACTGTTTCAAGTATAAAAGTAAAAGTAATGCAGGAAAACATGTTTTGTTGTACTGCACTACCCTTTTAAACGAATATTTTTGTACCTCTGGATGATAACTTCCTTAGACTTAATTTTCTTAGTGTGAAATTTAACTTTGCATCATCTTGAAAATGTTATTTTGGTATGTAGTCAACAACAAGTTGGGGAAGCACCGAGTCCAACCACAAAGAAATTAATGGTCTGGATGAAACTAATTATTTTGATGTTTTCTTTTTTTTTAAATACCAACAGGCCATAATGAAAATTAGCTTAAATGAAGCAAAACTAATTAGTCTATTTTAAAAAAGTTAGGAGTATAAAGTAGAGATAATTGCAAAAAATGTAAAGAGTAGAATTAAAAGGTGTCTAAAGAATAATTAAGTAATAACCAACATTTCTACTTAAGGAAACAAAGTATTTGTACTTTGTTACTTGACACCTCTGATCCTAAGTTATGTTAATTGTGCTGATTTGTGATGTTTTAAAGAACAATGTCAAAAATCCGTCCCATATTTTCATATTTAAATGGTAGCAAACAAATGTAATATATAAAAAATGCTTGGTCTTGGTCCAATTGTCTCAGAGTAAACGTCCCCAGTCTCCCTTATATGTTCGAATCTTCTTTTAACATTTTCTGTCGTTTAAAATTTATATTAAATACACTATTTTATTTCTAAGTTTACAAGATGAATCTGTTTAGATCTTATTTATTAAAAAGGACTTTCTCTGATTATTTGATTAATCAACAAAATCAACCATAAATTAATTGATTACTAAAATGAATATGAATGAATAGCTGCAGCCCTAATCTGGAGATATTAACTAAGTTAGGTCACTCTTTTTATGCTAAGTGATAAAAAAGCCAAGCCAAAATCATTGAAAAGTACTTTTTTGGTGTAGAAAATTCATTTCCAAGATA